GTAGTAGTATGTAGTAGTATGTAGTAGTATGTAGTAGTATGTAGTAGGATGTAGTAGTATATAGTAGGATATAGTAGTATACAGTAGTAGTATTATGTAATGAATTGTAATGATGATAAACGATCTGTAGCTTACAACCGCTTACAACCACACATCTCAATCGCTAATGAGATGCCACCGTATCTCCACACCAGAGGGGCTAAGTGCCCGGAATGGCCTACACCTTACACATTACCCTGTGGTGGCATGATTTTCAAGCATTCAACCTGTTTCAGCATGGGCAGAGCATTCAAGCTGGGTCACCCATATCACAGATGAGGGGCATGAGTGAAATCCAGACGACCCAAGCCTCGCTTTGAACGCACGGGTCTTTGAGGACTTCGGGACTATTAGATACCATGGGGTAGGGCAAGGCAAGCACACCCAATGTCGTTTGAATCTAGTGGATTTCTGTGTTTTCCTCTTTGGATATGTTTGGCAGGAGGATTTTGTTCTGGTTGGAATTGGAGTCTGATTGGATCATATGTTGACATTTGTTGTGTGTGTGGCCCACCAACCCCAATAGAGCAGCAGATTGCAATGACATGGATTCTGATTTCTTCGAGATTCTATTTCTATGTTAGAAGTTAGAAGTCAGGACTGCAAGGACTGCAAGGATTTGTTGATTTGACTTGAGGGCCACTCCGCTGCTTTTTCTTGTGTGCATCACTCAACGGTGGCGCAGCCGTGCACCTATAGCCTTGAAGCATCCCATGTTGACAAGACAGGGATAGATAGGTCCTGTTTGCAAACAAGACATGGACATGGATGAAAGGCTCCAAACATATCCTAAAGCCTGGAATTTCTCTTTTGTACCATGGAGGATTTCCTCAGTAGGTAAATGAGTGTTGGCATCAATGACTGGTGTAGAGGACAAAGTTCAGGACAAAGTTCAGGACAAAGTTCACTAAGACCCCCTGGGTCTCTTCTCCTGTTGTTTGTTTTGGATCAGGCTCATCTGAGTTTCTGCTGAGGTGGCCTACAACCATGAGCTGGCTACTGGGCCAACAATGGTCTTGCATGTCTTCGCTGGTTCTTTGGGCAATTGTCGGAGTCACACACAAACCTCGGATCATAGTCATTGATTGGATTGTTCATTTTGCTGAAAATTTTTGACTTTGGCGATTTGCAACAAGGGGAAGATTTATGAAGATTTGTGTTGGGCTTAAACCTGAAAAGCCCTTTATATACTTTACCCGTCCCGACCACTCCATGGGAATGACATATTTACCTACTGTACATTGGTGGTTCAGGGGTTAATGTAGACACATATTGGGATGGAGCATATCATCCCAAACACAGCACGCGCAATTGCCATTCTATTTGCCAGGTTTTGCTCCCCTACTGGGTGCAGATGCAGCCACACTTCTCGGACGGTTGGAAGGACGGGAGAATCCAGATCACAAGTCAAGATGCAAAGGCGCTATGGTTCCAGCATAAGAGCCAAAAAGCAAGAGTACGACCCTGACTCTGACAGCTTTTTGGGTTTGCCATGTTTGAACTACATTGTAGGCATTATAAAAATGGACAGTACCCTCCTCCTCTCCAAAAGGATTTGCCCAGGACTTTGGAGGTGAGGATGGCGACCTCACACGCCATACTGATCTCTATCAAGCGAGGCTGGTTGATGGTGCGTTTGAGGTTTCTCAGGCGTGTTGAAAGAAGTTGCTTCTGAGATGCAAAGACTGAAGACTTTCCATGACTTTCCGATAGACAGCAGTCCACAAAAATGACACGTGAACACCTGCACCAGTATGGGAGTAACGTATATGAACGGGGCTAGACAACCTGCACCGCCAAGGCTTGCCATTCTGCTTATTTGCTCTTGGTACAGAACTGAATTGTTCAGCAATGGTGAACATATTGAGCGTTTAAGTTTTGAGGGTTCAATGACCATGTAGGCCCAAGAGGCTCAAGGGATATATAGATCTCAAGCGTCGAGCCTGGGAACCGTGCATGGAGATTTGAAAGACAAGGTTTCGACGCACATGGTTGCCACGGCCTAGTGCATTTCCTTCGCACGCACCAGGTTCTCCAAAAGCTGCTTTGATGTTTAAATCAAAGCACACTTCTTACAGTTGTCCATCAAAGTAGTAGGGCAGGGGGCGGGGCGTTGAAAAAATATGAAAAAATTGTGCACTGTTTTCCACGTTTGCTCCAGATCACTCAACCCCAAGTAGGAGATGCTCCCAGTGGGTGCGCCCAGGGCACCATTTGTTCAACGGGTGTGTCGTGCATTGGGTCCGCGTTACCACCCAAAAAAACAAATCCTCGAAAATAGAATCCGGCTGGGATCAGTGGAAGGCCCATTCCCATTCTAGTTTCTGACGGGTTGCCCCTTCCCCTGCAATGGAGCTAGATTGCAGCTATGGTACTGTAGTACTGGTAAGGCGTAGGAGGTCATATTGAATCTTTGCAGCTCTTGTCGGACTTTGGCGCGAAAAAGTCTTTTCGACTTTGGATGAGAAACCCCCAGCGAAGCCTCCAAAGTGCGCTTTGATTTGTGTAAGCAATGCAAAAGGTAAGCAAAAGCGGCGAACCCGGCACGCACCAGGCATATGCGCGCCTTGTCTGATTGGTCCTTGGTCTCCACTGCAAGGCCTGCGGGCTCGTGAGACCATCCAAGATCACGTGGTTCTGTGTCTCAACATGTGTGGATTCGATGGGGGGTGCTTTGGGACAGCCAAGGATTCCTGCCTGTGGCTGGTATACTGACAGTTGGGTCGTCCTAGTTCAAGACCTGTTCAGATATTGGATAATATTGGATGCGTCATGATGCGTCATCCTAAACCCTCAGCGACCGCTCAACAGACTCTGGCGGGAAAAATGCTGTTGCTGGACAGACTCTCCAAAGACGTCTTCCGGTGACGTCTCCAATGATTGGTGTAGCTGCGTAGCTTTGCTAGCTTCATCGAAATGGTTCAAAAAATATGTAGGCCCTCTTGAAGAGCATCCAAACACCTTACAGAACCTTGGGAGCACCCTCCCTTGGAGCACCCTTCAACTGCGCGTGTGGCGCGTCCACTCAGCCAGGCTTTGGCTACCCTTGAATTTCGGCCCACCCTCTCAGCGGCAAGCGATGCCGCAGAGTGTTGTGGACTTCGCAAGGGCACACAGCAACGTGCGGGCGATGATGGGAACCGAGGGGTTTTGACATAGGAGTCATAGGAGGCTTCAGAGCAACAACTGATGTAACATGACACGAGGCACACTCCAAATCATTGTAAAGGCAGCCCCATTTGGATGTCCCGTTGATTTAGTGGAAGTGCTGAAAACCCCAGAGAACGATGGGGGACTCACCAAATAGTAACCTTTACTGTACTTCTTGAATTGTGGCCTATGATTTTTGAGCTTGCTTAGAACAATCACCAGAAGGATTGACAGGGCGATCACGCCAGTTGAATTGCACTCCCCCGAAGACTCGTCCAAGAGCTCGGCATTCGACGTGCGAAAATCTAAAGCAATAATAGGGGACTCAGGCAATCACCGAGCCGAGAAGAGACCATGTGAAAAAATAATTTGACCAGGCTCACACTATGATGTTCCTCTCCAATTGTTGTTGCTCCGTTTTTCTTGCCAAGTGAGATTCTCATCCCAATGCCAGCGATCCCAAACGGGATTCCCCCAAAAGCTGCCTGGCCACCGGGTCTAAGGCCTTGAGATACTACACCTTGGATTTGGCGCCACGTGTGAAGCTGAGAGTCCTGGTGTTTCCTTAGATTTGGTGATTCCTCCAGTCATTCAATCATTCCTCCAGTCATTCTTGTTGTTGTGTGTTTTGATTCACAGATTGGGAAGAAGTGGGGTTTGCTGGTCGGTTGACAACGCAGATGGATAAGATCTAGCAGCGTTGTTTTGATCACGCTGACATACTCAGTCCTGTAGAGCACCAGAGTTCTTCAGCTCTAGGACGTACCATGTAGCCAGTCTCCCAAAGTGTTACTTACCTTTGCACAATTGGAACAGGTCAAACATTCCCACTGATGGCATTGTGCTTGCCTGTACTATCCCTGGCTCATCCGCTATGCATGGAGGACCCTTCCGAAAGAAGGGCTTCAACAACGCCAGGAAGGGAGGGGAAATGTTGGGATGACACAGTGACCGTGCCATTTGTGGAGCTATCACATCATTTGCATGCCAGAGTGGGACTGGTCTACAGTAAACTATATGTTGCAATATTTTACAATTACAAATACAGTATATAATATATATATATATTGAGTTTTTATGCATTTATAGTTAATATATATATAATATACATAGTTGTTTACAAGTATATAGTTAATATTATATAGTTGTTAATGGTATGCAACGGCGATTCTCATGGTCCACCGTTCACTGGGATGTTTGCATATATAAGCATGACACAAGCTTATTAATGCACTTTGCTAAGAGTTATTATACGGTATACCGCTGTATGTTTTTGCCTCATGCTGCCTCAGAACCAGCCTCTTTAGTCATCGGACACGTGGTTGTTTTGGAATGCGGTCCAATGTACGATGGTGTACGGTGGTGACAAGTTGTTTCTGTTCTGTTTGTTTACCATCAGAGAAGAACGCAGGGATTCAGGGATTTCCTACACCTATTGACGAGACGAACATGACATTGATTCACTATTTCAAACTAGTAGCTTCTTGTTACTAGTAGTAAGGCCAGGAGCCCCTAGTAGCGTCCTTGCTCCTAGTAGCGATGCCCGTGCTCCTAGTAGCTTCTTGTTACTAGTAGTAATGCCCGAGGTTACCACCTTGCCGTATCTACAGCCATGTGTCCATTGCCTTGAGCTTCTTGCAGGAAAAAGGTAAAGGCACGGGCCAAGCGCTTGCGCTCCATCTCGGACTTCACGGCCGAGAGCACGGCCTTCATCGATGAGGTGGACGGACAACAAGTATTTGACTTGCTTTGTCCGTCGCGTTAAAGGATTTGAGGATACCATAACATAAACTAAACAATTCGGACTTGGACACCTGAACAAAGCGGAACAAAAGCCGGCCATCGGTTGCCGCAAGACTTGATGCGATAGGATTCACGGGATTGTTCGGTTGTTCTTGGGTCTTCAAGAACGAAATGTCCATTCATTCGGCAATGGATCACGATCAGAGTATCATTTCATGTTGGTGCATGACCATGTTTGTCCAGAAATGTCCAGAATGGCAACTAACACAGCCAACCACGGCTGGTGTATGCTAAGTCTACTCTGGGCTGTCAGATGAAATTTGCAATTCTTGCCACTTACAAGGCTGGCGACTAACATTTGCCTTTGGGGCAAGCTGTTACTACCAAAAGTTGCGCGAGAAGGAGCTTTCATTCTTGGTCAGATTTGTCAAGACCAATGAAGCGGAGACGAAACGGGACCAAACGCATTTGGTTTGCACAAAGAGGAATTATACATAGTTGGAAGCATGCAAACTCCTGGTAATAGTCCGCCAATCTCCAAAGTCTTCCAGAGTCCCATGCTGTATCTCCCACGTTCCTCGCGTGCGTCAGGTGCAGTCTCGCAAAGGGAAAGCTGGGATCCGACGCTTGTATTGCAGCTGGTGTTAGACTCTTTCTGGCGAAAATGCCGGTCGGTCCATGGCGAATTGTGTCCGGGTCCTAAAGTCGGCATGTCATGTGGGCCACGTGACTTGACGTTAGAGAAGGTGAAACGAGTCGTTGGCCACAAGAAAGTTGTTTCGTGATCCCTCCTTTTCTAAATGCAGTACTTGTATGTACCTGTGTTGGGTGCATGTTCCAAGTTACAGCTGCCCTCCTTGGGCGAGATTCTTCAACCTTCCATCGCATGCACCCAAGATCGTTCGGTGCAACACTGAAGTTCGGAGAGGTCGGGTCAATTGACAATTGAGGCGAGGGGGGCCTCCCCGGGATTGGTGGCTTCCGGACCTTCAAGGAGCTGAGGTTGGTGGGGCACGAGGACCAGGCAAGCGAGAGCGAGCGCAAAGCAAGAGCGACAGTTGCGCGCGACATAAAGAAAACTGTGCTGCCACTTCAAGATCGATGACGGATGCTGTAGAGGGAAAGCAAGCCCACCCTGGGTAGCAAAGAAGCTTTGACGTGATCCATTTGCCCCCCAAAAAGCAACTGCATGGCATGCACCAAACTTTTTCCAGCTAGGGGCCTCGTTTTGTTGATTGTGCTGGTTGGGTTGTCAGGGGGAATTGAATCATATTGGTTTACCGGAAAAGGGCAACTAAGTGCGCTTGCTTTCACATGATGCCTTGTGCAACGAGAATACTCTCGGCAAGTTCTTGAGACTCACATGTCAGGACCAACAGTGGCACGTTTCTGTGGAAACCCCTCTTAGTCTATTTTGTCGACGGGAACATCGACGCCAGGGCCTCAAGACGGCTGGTTGAAGATGTCATGGAGAGTATGGCCAAACCCTTGTTGGTTGCCAGCGACATGCATGATAAACAATGTTTGGAGGCACCAATTCGCGTGCTGCCGTTGTTCTTTACATTGTGGAAAGGTTTCATTCAACTTACACGCACGCCGCAGCCTTCCAGAGTTTGTTTTGTGTGAACGACTGTTGTTCGCATTCACATAGTGCTGGCTACTCCATATTTGATGTTCAAGGTTTTTTCCAAATGCGTTTATTTAATATAATATATATACAGTATATAGTCTTTGTAGCAGCTTCTATTTAGTGAAACATGTTCCTGTTGACAATCCTTGTTGTTTCGGTCAATGTTTTGATGGTCACTGACCTTCAACAAAAGCATACAAAAGCAATATCATCGGCTGAATTCAACTTAGCAAACATGCTTTTAAACTTCAATTCTAGGACATAGAAAGTTGCTGCACATATGCCCCCCAAACAACGAAGGTTATCAAAACAATACCGCCAAGACCTTGAGGTACCAGAACCGCACTGAGGCGTTTCATGGGGCCTCACTCCAAACGCAAGGGAAGCCCCTCCGTCCCGTGCTTTGCAACATTGTGAGGCCCGTCGATGGGTGGAGTTTCCGCTGGAAGAAATGAGGGTTCTCGCATGTGATTCAGAGGAACCAGGGATTTGCATGGCTTTGTCTCCTGCTAGGCGGTACGAAATTAACGCACTGCTGTCCTAGTATCATGTCTTTTATTGTTTTTTTTGGGTTTGCCCACGCCCACTCCCATGCAGCAGGCAAGGTCGGCACATGAATCACATGAATCCATTGGGGGGTCGGGCTGGCACAATTCTATACCTACAAAACCACCGATTGACAGATTGTCATATGTCCCACACCTTTGAAGAGTTAATGGTTTCATCAACTGTTTCGACCAAAGAGGGAGGCAGTGCCTCTAGGCAGTTTTATCCAGAGAAGCATGGGCAACGTTGCCACCAACCACTGGGTGTGCTGCGAATTGTCCACTGAACATGATGGTGTTTGCGACATCCCTCTATTGCAGTCTAAAACTCTCCTTTTGCAGATTTCGGGGCGCGATCCAGAACTGGACAGGCTGCCTTGCAATCCGAAGGCAAGGCCTGCAACCGCTGATGTGGAGGTCATTGCTCTGGTAGCAATCCGGTGTTCGTTGCTTCTCCCATGGCGGGAGTGATAGGATCTGCTCAAAAGCTCTAGAATAAAAGGACCTATCAATAGCACTGTGGCATGTATTGCACCATCATGTATCCAAAGAGGCCAAAGCATGGTTTGTCCCGACCATGCACGGTCCGGAGAACAACGCTGCACACGTGACAGATCAGGCTCGCCTGTTGCCTTCCAGCTTTGCCTTAGTGTGGCAGGGCTCAACGCTGTGCCTTGTCTTAATGCCCTGTGGATGCGAAATTCGGACGACTGAAAGAGGGGCGCTTGGCAAGGCCCTTCCCTGCGCCCCCTGAAGGGCCATGCATCTATATAACCCATGATCAGACAAGGGCCATGATGTTCCATGAAGATTTTATTTGTGCTTTGCCCAGCAGAACTCGATCATTTGAGAATGAGACGCGGAATCAAATCGGACCAAGCAACTCAAGGACGTTCCGCCTGTTTCACCCGCCAGGTCATCATGATATGCATATTTCACAACAAACCGGTGAGAACAGACCAAAATAATGCTTCAAAGATCTTCAAAGTATCTCGGGGTTGGAGATAAAAATGTTTTGCTGATAAACCATGATAAACCTTGGTTCCTGACAAGTTTCACTACTGCAGAAGACCCCCAACCCCCCTCACCCGTTGTTGATTTTCTTAGGCTCTTTCGCTGCTGGCCTATCACCCTGTCTCAATGCAACCGACAAAGGCCACGGGATATATCTCGATTTTCTCATGTATTGACGTCTCGCTATTAGGTTGGAGGCCATCACTCTTTGGTTGGAGGTCATCGCTATTAGGTGGGAGTCCAGCGCTCTTTGGTTGGAGGCCATCGCCATTAGGTTGGAGTCCAGCGCTCTTTGTTAGTCATCGCTATTAGGTTGGAGTCCAGCGCTCTTTGGTTTGAGGCCATCGCTATTAGGTTGGAGTCCATCGCTCTTTGGTTGGAGGCCATTGCTATTAGGTTGGAGTCCATCGCTCTTTGGTTGGAGGCCATTGCCATTAGGTTGGAGTCCAGCGCTCTTTGGTTGGAGGCCATCGCTCTTTGCTTTGAGGCCATCGCCATTAGGTTGGAGTCCATCGCCATTAGGTTGGAGTCCATCGCTCTTTGGTTGGAGGCCATCGCCATTAGGTTGGAGTCCATCGCTCTTTGGTTTGAGGCCATCGCTATTAGGTTGGAGTCCATCGCTCTTTGGTTGGACGCCATCGCTATTAGGTTGGAGGCCATCGCTATTAGGTTGGAGTCCATCGCTCTTTGGTTGGGTGCCATTGCTGTTAGGTTGGAGTCCATCACTCTTTGGTTGGAGGCCATCGCCATTAGGTTTGAGTCCATCGCTCTTTGGTTGTAAACGATCGCTATTAGGTTGGAGGTCATCGCTCTTAGGTTGGAGTCCATCGCTCTTAGGTTGGAGGCCATCGCTATTAGGTTGGAGTCCATCGCTCTTTAGTTAGAGGCCTTCACTATTTGGTTGGAGTGCATTGCTGTTTGGTTGGAGGCCATCGCCATCAGGTTGGAGTCCATCTCTATTAGGTGGGAGTCCATCTCTCTTAGGTGGGAGTCCATCACTCTTTGTTTGGGTGCCATCGCTGTTAGGTTGAAGGCCATCGCTATTAGGTGGGAGTCCATCTCTCTTAGGTTGGAGGCCATCGCTATTAGGTGGGATTCCATCTCTCTTTGGTTGGATGCCATCGCCATTAGGTTTGAGTCCATCGCACTTTGGTTGGAGGCCATCAGGTTGGAGTCCATCGCTCTTTGGTTTGGTGCCATCGCTGTTAGGTTGGAGGCCATCGCTATTAGGTGGGAGTCCATCTCTCTTTGGTTGGAGGCCATCGCCATTAGGTTGGAGGCCATCGCCATTAGGTTGGAGTCCATCGCCATTAGGTTGGGTACCATCGCTCTTTGGTTGGGTGCCATCGCTGTTAGGTATTTAGTTTTTCAGAATCTGGGTCCGGTGATGTCCCTGTGTGCCCGGCCATGTGTGCCGATCCCCTTTCGTCCCAAGCTATGCGGCAGGATCGGTCAAAGGAGCCCACCGGCGGGGACCACCGGCAGTCGGAAGAGGAGTTGCAGGCACGTGGAAGAGATGCGGTCGACCAGTGGATGGTCCTGTTCATGAAAGTAACTGTAAAATACTTATTTTAAGATAGTTCAAGCAAGCTTATGTCTTATGTTATTTGTTTTGATCGGGCATGGCCAGGAGTCCTTCCCTAAATAATTACATCACAAACAAACAAGCTTGGAACTATGCCTGAGTAAATCGTTCAGGGCCTTCCCTCGGGCATGCTCTAGACATCTCTAGGCCTTCAAAGTAAAGCATCCTCCAGATCTCTTTGGAGGATGTGTTCGAGTGTTTTGCCCGTTCAAACTTTGTTTGATTTACCAAGGGTTTCTTCATTCAACGGAGCAACCAGCCTCGTTGCTCTATGCAGCTGGAGGCCCACTTTGGGCAGATGAGAATTACAGCTCGACGAGGGTGCGCGTCAGGCGGGCGGGTCATTGATCTCAAGGTCCGGTTGGGCGTGGCAAAATGGGAACACCGACACCACCACAATCTCAGATCAAACATGGATCAAAGATTGATTTCCAAGTGCCGAGGTGGAACAGCAGTTAGGCTGCCATTCAAGTGTGTGTTTCAAAACAAGAGGCAACACGGCACGGTGATGTTTACAAGTTTACACCATAGTCAGCATTGCAGAAAAAGTCACCAAAACTCATCTTCAAGCGCAGGATCACAGGATCGCTGACGAGAAAAGTCATGGCAGGAACTGATCCAGTTCTGGTGCCACACCTGAGGTATTTTCTTGTGGATCCAGCTGGATCCACCAGCTTGTTTGTGCTATCGGGGCTGGGGTGATCCGATGCTTGGTGTTTCTTTACCCACACTGGACCGGAATCTGGAGCACGGACGGCTGCGCACGGACCGCCGCTCGACACGGACCGCTCGAATATCTTTTGGATTTATTCCTTAGGGATTGTGCTATACTTGCAGTGACTGTGACTTATATAATATAGGAACATATAGGAACATGAATAGGTGTAAATAGCAGTTGGGCGCGGTGCTGGTCAAAACCTGGGTTGTTGTGCAGAAAATTGCCCGTGTTCGATCAGCTCGATGTTTGCCTTTCTGGAGGAATTTGTCCATTTGCTGCCCCGGCAGAGACACATGCTGAAAGGATCAACCAAGGACTGGGAAAGGATGAACACCTCTACAAATCATCAGATTGTTTTGACCTGTCCTTTGTGATTTTCCTCTCAACACGACTTGGCGCTAGGTGCGGTGGCCAGCGAGGCTGAGGCGGGCGGATGAAGGCTGCGTACATACTTGAATCAGGTCGTTCTTGCAATGGAATCAAACAGAGCATCACTTATCCGCAAAACGTATCAGACTTTGGAATTCTTCCACCGCAAACCCCAGGTTCCGCCGGTGGAGTTTGCGGCACTCTTGGATGACGTGGAAGAGTATGTCACAGCAACTCAGAGAACCAACAGTACACCGGGAATGAATGTACACGGCTGCTTTGACTATCGAGGGGTTAAGAGTTCAGAGGTAACAAGTTGAAAGCCCCAGGGATGAACTGGCCCGATCTATACAGTAATTAGTAATTAGTAATTAATTGTGTTTCCTAAGCGAATATAGCAGTCCACAGACAGATTGACAAGACAATTTCCCTATTCCAGGTGATTAATGTTTTTGGTTCCACTGCCCAAAGTTGATCCACTTGCTTTTGGCTCAAATGGAATCACAGCTTTACAGCTAGAAAGAACCAAGAACCTGATACAAGGGCATCTTCCAAAGCCTTCATGGCACGTGGCCGACCATCTATGATGCTTGATGCGTGCGTGGAAGAGGGCAGCCCTACCAACGCCCAAAAAGAGTTTGAGGAGGGCTTTGTGGGATGGTTGGGGTCAACATGTGTCAACAGATCATGTAGTGAGTGATATGTAGTGCAATAACCATGCAACATATCTTGCCCTATTTAGGTGTAACACATGTGTATATATATACATACATACGTAGTAATATAGTTATTTACAGATTACAGGTCTCAACATTTTTAGGTGTGTATATATATAATTCCATATCTAAATATAAACAGCCAATGCAAACTCTGCAGTGGTTGGCAGTGCACGGGACTTTTCAAGGATGTTTGCAAGTACCGCTGGCAGATTGATTGGTGGCTTTGTCAATTGTGTGTCCAGGCTATGGTGCAAGCTCAGACAAAGGACCAGGCGTCTTCAGGGTGCTTGGGGGCCACAGAAATCAAGATAGAGTGTAGCAAAGTTGCAGAAAGATGCAGAAAGTACTGTATATAAGACAGAGATTGCGCACTGACTTCATGCCTTTCTCGATTGAATTCCTGCTTTTGATGCTTTCAGCTTTGTCAAAGAGCTTGACTTGGGAGGCTGAGGAGCTACGAAAGTTATATGCCGAGAGTTGGCGTCAGAGCGACGTCGAGCTTGGGCTCAAGCCGCCTAGGCCTGGCATCATCGCCCATGCGAATGCCGCTCTCGAAGAATCTCTTCGAGCGGCCAACAAGATCGATGTCATTGATGACAGTGGCGAGGACGGAGAACCTGAGAAGAAGGAAGCTGAACAGGATGATTGGACAAACCAGGTATGGATCTGGTTCAAGTCGCTGACCATTTGCGCCTGCTGCGTCCGCAAGTAGGCCAGATCCTTGAAATGTGTGCAGTCACATTCAGTCACCATATGATTATTTCAATGATAACATGGCGACATAGAAACTGTCCAGCAACGTTAGCCCACCTGAACTTCTATACCTGTATATATATATTGTATTATATACTATTATATACTGTGTATACATTGACTTACATTGATATGGGACCATGGATTTATGATTGTATTTATGATATATTAATTTATACATGTTATGTGATGTTATGTGTTTTAATGTTCGAAGGACGAGATCAGTTCTGCCAGAAAGTCCTTTCTGCACCGGATACGCTGCAGGCATTTTATTAGCCCAAGGTGGCCTTATTGCCAAATGAGTTGCGCGGCCAATTTGAATTATGCATTCGTGGATTCACCATTGTCAACATCACGTGCCAATAACTCAACCAAAACTGATTGATATTTACATGTGCGTCACAGTGAATGTTGTCATGCGCTCTGGGAGGCAGGGCACGCCATTGAAGCCAACAAGTGTTCCAAATCCAATGATATACATCTTGGATGCTGCCGAAAGAGACATGATAAGCATGTTGACAGTGGCGTAATGTGCATAGAGGCCATTTGAAGCCTTGTTTCCGGATACGAGCGAGTTCATCCACGGGGTTGCTCAAGAACGCTCAAGATGGGAATAGTATGCTACCTAGCTGCTTCCAGGAACCAGTTGAATGAACTCCTTGACAGGCGATGTGTGTCAACAGAATGCGGTGCCGCAACATTATTCAACATTGCTTCGATGAAGTGGTCAAAAGAGTGTTGGGATGCAGCCGTTTCAAACTCTTTCCAAATACTGAATCCTCCAAGTGATCCTCCAAGTACCTACCAGTAGCGCCAGTAGTAGCGCCCTATTTGGTTGTAAACGAAACATTTTGGGCAGAGTCTCCTCCTTGCCCGCAGTCAGCAAAAACTGGGTGACCCCAAACATCCTTGTGCTGCGGCCTTACTTCATTTCAGCTTCATGGGGAATTGATCAAGTCCCCGAGAAGTACACAGCTTTTCATGGGTTTGACTACTTGTTGCTATACAGTATACCATAGTATACATAAATCATTTAATCTGACATTGAACATTGGGCCTGGGTCAAAGTATGGCTTCTTGGATCTGGGGCGGGTGGAGGATTGGAGAAGAGACCAGGTAGAACTGCCGATGGACGCTATTAACCCATCTCACGGATCGCTTCTAAGGGCGAACTCTCCTTACCATGGAATCTTCTCCAATCCTCTCCACCCACCTAACAAAGGACTAAGGATGCCTACAACGCACAACAACTCTGACTCTGTCCACTTTTTGGGTGTGTACACCAGGTGACCCCCTGTTCACCACAACAGCCTACCTCGTTCAGTGCGCCATGTCACCAAGGTGGTAGCTCACTGTGCAGAGCGTTGCCACCTCCTCGAGCGCTTGGCCGTGTCCTTCCGTGAGGCGCTTGGCACATGCCACCCGCAGATTCCGTGCTGACATAGTGCTACTCGTGATCTCATGAAATCCACAGATTCTGGGCGAAAGGGCTATGCGTTTGGGGCTTTAGTGACCACAAGTACTTAGATACGGTAAGAGAGTATGAAAATGTGTGAGGCGTCAGAAACGCCGCAAACATCAGGATTTTAAGCTTATTTGCTTCAGATTCCAGTGCAACATGAAATGATGTGGGCCACATGTCCCAGAAGCACAAAAAGTGCTCGTTCAGATCAAGCAAGCGTCAAATGCGTGCTCGGAGAATTACTTCGAGCCTGTGACCCATCACACCATCAATCAACAACGCGTAGATCACGAGATCTCAGGCAGTGTTGAGTCATGAGATGTCATGAGGAAGAATGTTCTGTGGACTTCAAGTTATAAACCAATTGGACTTATATAACTTAGATAGTGCAGAAACCAGAGTCGATGATTTCGTTCCGTGGTCCTGGAATGCCAGAAGGTTTACGCGAAGCTTCCCATCATCACCACCTGTGAGTGTGCAGAGGATGCTCTTGGATGCAGCAGCCTTGGGGTTCTTGAACTCTTCAGCTTCCCACCAACGGGGTGGACGTAATCAGGGTTCCCTTGTCAAGCACGTGGATTGGTTTGTTTCATTATGTTGCATGATTTGTTAAACGGATAGGGCATGCAAAGGGTGCATCTTGCCTCAATCGTTCATTTGCTTGTTGGCTACCATTTGCCCGCTGTTCTTGTTCAAAAGCAGATCCAGACACTAGGGACTTCGGCTCACCAACAAATGCACCACATAACTCGCATGTGTCGCATGGCACTGCTGGCTTCTTTCGGTGGGATCCAGGTGAGGAGCCTGTCGCTCGTGCTCATGAACGCGTCTGGGGTCCCAAAGACCCAAAGACCGATCGGCCCAAGCCTTGTGATCACCAGACAGCCGTTCATGGCAGAAACTCCATCCTGCCGTTCATGGACATGGTATTCCAGTTGGAACTCCAAAGCAGGTGGTAAACACTCAGGGCCTAGGTCTTGAAAAAAGATGAAAAAAGAGGTCTCAAAGCGATGCATCTCCACTGTGCGATCTAGTGTGTTTCCATCGTGCGTCTCTAGGTGTCGCAAATGACCGTGGTCTCAGTGCCGTATGACTTCGGCCTCTCTCGCGGGACTTCTGCCTCTTCCGAGTGAAGGGAAGGAAGTGAATCACATGAGTCAAAGCACCGAGGCCATAAAGCTGTCACGATCTTTCAGAAGATACTTGATATACTTGTAGCTGGCTGTACCTTTCACAATGCTCGACAGATATCGACAGCGATTATTGGTCAGATCTCATCAGATCTCTATGTTCTGTAATCTGTGTATATATATATGATACATAATATATATATATATATGTAGATAGATAACTTTTTATAACTTAATCTTGTATAGCATCACCTGGTGACCTTGAACCTTCCTTTGTCGAAGTGCAGCATGCACATTCTCAGCTTCCAAAGAAGTTTGGATCAGATTGGTTGTGTTTTTTCGTTTTGGTGGAGGAAGACCCTGCTCATCGAGATGACTGACACCGAGCCAGGGGACCCGGTACCAAAACACCGGCCGGCCTTTCACACGGACAGTCAGTGGCTGTTCATGACTTGCAAGCAGGTGAAATGTGTCATACTGGTGTGAACACTGCTGGTACTACCATGTACTACCTTTACAGCCATGATCCCCATCCGATGATCAAATGCATGAAGTGAAAAGGCACGAAAGATGAAGGTGATTAAAGTCTAACCAAGGTCGAGTTCATTCTATATAGTTGCAGTGTACTATACTAGGCAAAGTGGGAGAGTCAACGGGAATTCGTGCACCCGACAGTCAGAGTTGTGATATGAATCAGCATCCATTTCACTGTTTGGCATCGTCTTTGCAGAATGCGTTTGACAGTTGGAACCCTGGATCCCAGTTGCCCCTAGATGATCTAGAGTGAGGCATCAGTCAAGCATGGAGGTTGTAAATTACAGACAAGATATGACAAGATCTTGTCAGAACCCTCCTGGTGACCCGGGCCCAAGTTGCTGCGTGGTGCACGGCGGACTTCAAGCAAAACATGATGTTCACCTGGAATGCTCAAGCAACCAATAGCCCTATGTTTGTAGTTTGCGGGCTACAATCCCAAAACCAGGGCCCTGGTGTCCAACCTGTAACCTGTGAGCTTCTCCGCTTCTCCCCGTTCGTTGGAGGTTTGTCCTCGTCCTGGATGATGACTTCACCCATTCCATGCACTCCTGTGCGGCCACTCAGCCTCCGAGGATGAGCGAACTGAGGCATGAGACCATATTACGACCAAAAGCTCCCGTTTGGCACTTGGGAGGACATTAGTTGGTTTTTCAAAGTTTGTTATAGTTGTATCATATTTGTTATTTAAGTGGGAAACAGCAGTGGTTCTCCACTTCGCTTGCGAAGGAGTGGGGCCAAACCCGTAGTGTGAGAAACATGACTGAGTTTGAGTCATTGAAGCCGCTATTCAATCTTTTGGGTCAATGGCTCCTGGCAGCACTTTCTGTGTAGGCTGTTGTTACTCGTAATTCATAGGAAATGAATGGACATGAAGGAAAACGACCGGCACGTCTTGTCGACCAACAAATTCTTTCTTGATCAACCAGCAGCTGTGGCAGTGGTGAGTGGATAAGAACTCGTGGGTATTTCCTGCAGGTTCCCTCAGCAATTCAAAGGGGAATCCTCAGACGTCCACAACAAGCGCTTGGAGAACAGTCCACGGTCCGCGCTTGGGCATGCAAAGCCCCTCAAAATCCAAGAGCCGTGTTTTTTCTTTTTCTGCATGCGGCTGTCATTCTTGGAATCCAGATTTGACGTGACTGTTTTGCAGTCGGATTTGGGTGGCCCGTTTCGGTGCACACCCACAACTGGGGTCGAGCCGCCCAGGTTTGGAATGCATGCTGTGGAAGATGCGGAGCCGTCACTATGCGCTTTGGAAGTCGGGCACTCGCTTGAAAGTGCGATGAATTCAGGAATTTGTCCCTATGGTCCAACTATGTTGAACTATACTCATCCCATTTGATCCCCAAATTAGATGTTTCTTAGTGTATCCCTTTGTCCTGGACATACTTAATAATTGAACGGTTGGGATGCATTGTTTAGTTTGCTTTTGGGAACCTGTAAGAGTACTTACATGCCCACCAAGCGTAGTTGCTCCCGGGGTGTTTTGTGCATCATTGCAGAATGTCCTGGTAGAATCTCAATGATGTCCTAAAAGAACGCTACCAAGAAGCAAAGGCACTGATGTTATTTGTTACTGTATATAGTTTTCGATAGTTTTCGGCTTCGTATGTCTTCGTCATGTGACCGGAGGTGTCATGTTACGGACGGTTTCAAGACCTGCCCAATCGTGACATTGATAAACACAAACATATACGATTGATTGGGTGTGTGCTTGCGAGGGTGTCGACGGGACCGGGCTTGGACGCCCCTTGACGTCCAGCATGGCTCAGATGGCTCAGGCCTTTCGACGTGCTTGGCTTCCCGGTACAGGAGGATGAAAGGATCTTTGGAGCCTTTCGGGGCAGGTGGGCAGGTCCCGCAGGGTCGGGGGGGCACGAGTGAAGACTGGGGTGGCTTGGCATCAAATCAGACTGTGCTATTCAAAGGCATGAGTCCACAAAGAGAAAGATTTCTGGAGCAAGTTCAAGTTCACAGCAGAAGTTCCAAAAAGGGCCCTTAGTCACCAAGTGAAATCCCAATGAGTGCAGATTGTGCTGTCACTGTAGCTTTCTGAGAAGTCCTTGGTCGTCCTTCATCACTTGTTGCTCTCGTGGCTATGCTGTGGAAAGGCTTCGAGTCACGAACCAGCAACTCTTCTTGGAACCCATGGTCGAGGCGAGCTTTTTGCCAGTGGTGACGTCGTGAAAATACCAAGGGTTTTTATGCAAGATGAGACCAGCACCAACCATGAAGGAAGGAAATGGTAGATTGTGCCAATCAGGATGTTCAGTGTGTTTCTCATGTGTGTGTGTTCATATAAAGGCAACAGTGCCAGTTTCATGTTCCCACCACAGACTCTTTTTTCATCACTCGTCCAAGAGTGCTTGTGCAGCTTTCCACATGAGACTTCCTGATTTGTGGATGACCTTTGGAGCAATTGCCAAAAGAAGACACATGGCTTCAAAAGATATCATATTCTTGGACATGCTGGTGCCATTTGAACGTGGATCAAAACTTGCTCCAAATTGGCAGTTGACAAGATTGCTGAGCATTTCCGTTGCAGAGTCTTGCGGGTTCACTGGAATAGCACCGTTTGGAAAAAGTTTACTCGCTACTACTTGTAGGTTGGAGGCCATTGCTCTTAGGGTGGAGGCCATCGCTATTAGTTTCACTGGAGCCACATCCACAGCTGGCGATTTCAGGAGGTTCTCCCGGATGGCTGCGTCCGGGTGGAGATTTGCCACTGGACTGATTGAACATCTCGGTGGAGCAAAGCCTGGGGTGTGGTGAGCTTGCGAGCTTTAGCTTCCACTAAGCAATGAAAAGGATGGGAAGGAAAAGGTTCAGTCAAGGACTCCTCTTGACAAACTGTATGAAGTATCAAAGGACCATAATATAAGAATCCATAAGACCAAACAATACATGTTATATACATATATATATATATATTTGTTTTTTACATTTTATTTACAACATTATACAACCATTACAATCAAAGGTTTTCCACATTTTCCACTGACTTTGACTCACTGTGTTTAGCTGTGTGTTGTTTAAACTCATAATAATGCGACGTCTTCTTCCCAAGTTTTTATGCTCGCGTTGTTTCTGTTTATGCTCGCGTCTTAAGGCCCGATGGTCTTCTTGGGTCGAACAGCTCGCATGCGGCGTTTTCACTTCAACAAAGAGTTGCGTGCCACGAACTTAAGCTTGCATCAACTTGCATCAATCGTGCAACCGATAGTTTGCCGTTTGTTGCTGTGCATCTTTCAGAACAAACATTGGAAAGTCAGTAGCTCATGACACATGGCCTCAAAGCCTTCAAGCATGCAAGGTTGCAGAACGTTCACAGAGCAGGAATTGGCAGACAGGGCTAAGCCGGATTGAGGTTGGTGAGCATGAGCAGTTCTTCTACGCGAATGCCTACAATGGAATCCAGGCCATGGTACAGTGGTGTATTCAGATTCAGATAGCTTTTTCTCCAGTTGCCTGATGTGATGCACGCGAAAGCACACAAAGGTAAAGGGGGTGCTCCATAACACTGATGAAGCGCTTTAGAATTCCTTATGATGACGCGCAAATTCCCGTCACGGCGTCAAGTCCAGAGGTCGCTGTGTGCTTTGACTCCTCGTTCCCGCACTTCCGTGTCGGGTAGCCCGGTGGTTCAGTGGTGGCTGGTCGGTGGGTCGTGAGTGCTGGGATTGGCTTCTCAATCATGCTTGGCAGCATGGAACAAAAACATGAAACAAGTGTGACCCACATTAGCATACATTAACTAATGTTTTCAGAATTGAAGATGAGTGAACAATTATGTTGATCAACTGGCAAGTTCTTCAGGTCAATACGATGAGTGCTGGCTATGTAAAGCGGCGTGAAAGGCGGGGATGAGTGGGAGCGGAAGAACCTGGTGTTGAGGCAAAAAAAAAGATTCCAGATGTGTCAGGACCATCCTGATTCGATCTGATTGGCAGGAATCCCGCTGGAAATTTGGTGATACCCTTTGCAATGACCAATATCTCGTAGTATCGCACTCATCCATTAGACAGATTTCCTCAGTCAGGTGTAAGTACTAAAGAGCCACAACAGTCAACCTTTTGCTGAAGGACAGCACAGACACTGCTACCTTTTGCAACACGAGTCGATTTCGAATCGATATATATATATATTTACATGTTTTTGTAGTTATATTATATTTACCTATGATGATATATATACACACATCACTTGTCACGTCACTTCCATGGGTGCCTCATGAGGGCAGGCAGAACCATCCCAAGGTCACCTCTTTAGATGATTGTAAGATACAATTTACATTAATCACGAAAGCTAGCACCAGCTAGCTGGAGTTGTCCTTGCTTTAGCAAGTGAGGGGCTGGAATCCTCGGGATCGCCGAATCACGTGAAAACTTCATATGTAGGGGGGG